AGAGTCAGGCGGCTCTCCACCCCAATCCAGGAGGGTCAGAACTGCCTCCTGGTGCCTGAGGCACAGAGGCAGAGACACGGACGCAGGGCGTTGAAGATGGATGCATCCCCGTGCGGAGGCACAGGTACAGAAATGCAGGGGATGGTCGAGACTGGTTTGGCTCAGTGGATAGAGCATCGGCCTGCAGACTGAGGTTCGATTCTGGTCAAGGGCATGTGCCTTGGTTGCGGGCACATCCCCAGTGGGGGGTGTGCAAGAGGCAGCTGATTGATGGTTCTGTCTCATGTGGTTTCTAGCTCTCTATCCCTCTCTCTTCCTCTCTGTAAAAAATCAATAATAATATGGGGGAGATATATATTTATTATAAATAAATATTTATTTATTTTTTTTTTTAAGAAGGAGCCGAAACCAGTTTGGCTCAGTGGTGGAGCATCCATCGGTCTGCGGACTGAAGGGTCCTGGGTTCGATTCCGGTCAAGGGCAGGTGCCTTGGTTGCTGGCACATCCCCAGTGGGGGTGTGTGCAAGAGACAGCTGATCGATGTTTCTCTCTCATGTTGTTTCTAGCTCTCTCTCTCTTCCTCTCTGTAAAAAATCAATAAAATATTTTTTTTTAAAAAAAAAAAAGAAAGAAGGAAATGCAGGGGATGCCCGCAGAGAGACACTGGGGTGGTGGGGGCGGGGTGGTGAGAGGCGGCAGGGGTGAGGGGAGGAGAGAGAGGCCCAGGATCTTGGGGACCAGCGAACCCTCCCAGCCTCTGGGGGGTGGGGGGAGGTGTACAGGATGCTGCAGTTCTGGGTCGGGGCGTGTCTGGGGAGAATGAGGATGTGGGGATCAAAGGCCAGCTCTCTGGGGTGACAGCGGAAGCCCAAGGCCCGAGAGCAAGCAGCAGCTGGAAACCCCTAGCCTCCTGCCTCCGCGGAGCTCAGGGTGGGGGTGGGGGCAGTGCAGGGAGCTGGAGGCAAGAGTGGCCCTCTGCACAGCCCAGGGTCATGGTGGGGAGGAGGGACGGGAGAAAAAGGACCACCGTTTGGGGAAAGGTCAGGGATGTCCCAGCTTCCTCATGCATCTCAGCAGGATTTTGGGGCCCTGGGAAGGGACATCCCCTGGGAGACCCCTCACTCCCTGCTTACCAAAGACACCGCGAGTGTCCTGTTTCCCTGGGATAGGGCAGTGAGAGCCACTCAGATGTGAGTGCCCTGCCCACTCTCACCCCAGCCTACCCCTCCACACCTCCCTGCCCCAAACTAACTTGTAAACAACTGCATCCTGTGACCAGTCTCCTTCCTTTCTAAACCCTCCTTCCTGACATCTCTTGCTATTTCCCTAATTAAAAAAAAATAATAATAATAGAAATATAAAAAAATTCTATATGTTAGGTCCCCGAAGGAGGAACGTAGGAGGCCAGAACAGTGAGGGATCATGAATTCATTCGATCATCCGCACACCAGGTGGCTGAGCCCCAGATGGCCCCAACACCCCAGTGATGGGAGCCAGAAGTTTTTATTTTTATTGTTTTAATATATTTTATTGATTTTTCACAGAGAGAAAGAGAGAGATAGAGAGCTAGAAACATCGATGAGCGAGAAACATCGACCAGTTGCCTCTTGCACATCCCCACCGGGGATGTGCCCACAACCAATGTACATGCCCTTGACCGGAATCGAACCCGGGACCTTTCAGTCCGCACACTGATGCTTTACCACTGAGCCAAACCGGTTTCGGCGGGAGCCAGCAGTTTTTAAAGGACCCTATCGAGGCGGGCTTTTTCTGGGTGGAGGATTCTCCATGCAGGTCCAGATTTTGGGAAGTCCGGAGGGGAGAGAGAATGGCGTCAGCCAGTGGATTGTGGTCTAGGCAAGTGGAATGTCCATTGTGAAGTGGTCTCAAGGTCGGTTGTCGGGTCAAACCTAACATCCCAGCCTTTGTGTTTTATGGACTAGGGACGAAGGTCATATATTCTGTAGTTACTTCCTGCTGAGTCTGAACTTCGTTCGGGATCACGGAGCAGTGGCCTTTGCTTGTAGTCAGCTGGAATGTTGTCTGAATCCCTCCTGGTTGTAGCATTATTATCTCCCTGAGAGACTAGTCCTGCCACCACAGTCATCACCCATGGCTCAGACCTGGAGATGTGAGTCTGTGGGGCCCTGTCAGGGCCTGGGCAGCTTCAGTCTTCGGTGGCCAGTCCCAGCTGGTCTGGGAGCCCCAAACCCGGTCCAGAGGGCGGCCTTGCCGGACTGGCTGAGATCCGACCCGGAGGGGCCAGACGGCAGTCTGGTTTCCAGGGGCCTTCCCTTCCACACCTTGGGCAGGACCCAGGCGGGGGTCTCGGGTTTGAGCAGGACTGGGCTCAGGGTGCATCCTGGTTGCATTTGAAGCACGGGCCCGAGGAGGCTTAGCCCTGACTTGCCCTTGGGAGGAGGGCCGGCACTTGTTCGGGGTTCGTGAGAGAGGTGGCTTGGATCTGGAAGGCCTGCTCTGGGCCTCGGCCTTGGCCTGGTCTCACCTTCGTTTTTGGATCGGGGTCTCCTTGTCTCTATTATTAAAGACCTTAAAGGCCAGGTTAACGGGGTCTTTTTGAGGGGTTTGTGGACCTGTGCCTGTTTTTTGAAGTTTGTGGCATACATTGGGGGCTGATTGGGATATAAAATGGGTGTTCAAAAGAGGTGGGAGTCTAAGGAGGTACATTTCTGGAAGGCCTCTGTGAGGAGGAAGAGAAAGAGAGCTGGGTTTTCGTAAGGTCCCTGAGTGATCTCATTAAGTTTGTCACGACTGACCACAATGCCCTCCATTCCTGCTGCCTCCCTCAGGGGCAGAATGGGCGCCGGAATAGAAGAGGCTGTAGCCGGAACTGGTTTGGCTCAGTGGATAGAGCGTCGGCCTGCGGACTGAAAGGTCCCAGGTTCAATTCCGGTCAAGGGCATGTACCGTGGTTGTGGGCACGTCCCCTGTAGGGGGTGTGCAGGAGGCAGCTGATTGATGATTCTTTCTCATCGATGTTTCTAACTCTCTAAGAAGAAGAAGAAGAAGAGGCTGTCGAGGAGGGTGGTCTTTGGGTGGCCCGAGCGCAGGTGTTAGGAAAAGGCTGCTTTGGCACTTACATTCTTGGGATTTGGGCTCTCCGGGGCCGGGGAGAAGGTGGTTGCTGGTCAGGAGGGCCTGGGTCCGGGGAATCTACTGCAGGTGAGGGAGGGATGTGAAAGAGGGTGGAGGTCGGTGGTCTGCTGGGTCAAAAGTAGATTCGGAATCAGAAGTGTTAGGGGTGTGCTGTTTTGTGGGAAGGAGAAGGATCTGATGGGTAGAGCAGGACTGAGAGAGGGGATTGGGCCTGAAGGTGAAAAAGGCCCAGATGTAGGGAATCTCTGACTATTTTCCATTGCAGTGACAGCAGTGATGTCAAATTATGTCTGAAGGCCAGTTCCCAGGGGAGGGGGTATCGATTCCATTCTTTGATCAGCCCTAACCCTATCAAGCCCCAACAGTGTGCTTGGCCCTGGGTAATTATTCTTTCAGGCAGACCGAGTGACTGGAGAGAGCTTTTTAAAAAAAATCTTCCCCTGCCCTGGCTGGTTGCTAGGTGGTTAGAGCATCGGCCCTCAGACTGAGGAGTCCCAGGTTCAATTCCTGGTCAGGGGCATGGTCCCCAGTCCCATTGGGGGCACATGAAGGAGGCAACTAGTCCGTGTATCTCTCTCATGTTGATGTTCCCTCCTCCCTGCCCTCCCCCCTTTCCCCCACCCCCTCCCGCCACTTCCACTCTCTCTGAAAATCAATGGAAAAAGTTGGGTGACGATTTTTTAAAAAATTCCCCTCCCAAACCTCATCAGGAGCCCCCACCCCCCACCCAGCACCCCTCTCCCAGCTCTCCTTGAGCAGCTTGACCACCTCTGCGTCTGGGGTGGGATGCACCTTCCCTTTTCTTTCATCTGATTCATGGTTTTCAGATTCCCGTGTGCGGCAGTCACCTGGGGGTTTATGGAAACAGACTCTGATTCTGCAGGTCTGGGGTGGGGCTGAGACTTGGCAGATGCTGCTGCCGCTGGGGATCTGGACTCACACATGGAGAATCGCTGCTCTAACCTAATGCTGCCCCTTCCTCAAGGGCTATTCAGAACTTTTCTGCAGCTTCCGAGCGCGTGTTCCTCCCCGCCAACCCCCCCCCCCCCCCCCCCCCCCCGCAATCAGCGACCACAGAACCGGCTCCTGCTCTGTCATCGAATGCTGACACAGCACCTGGGAGTCATGAGAGGGTCGGCCTGCTGGTGCACAGGGCTCCCTCACACTCCATCAGGAGCCTCATCTTAAGTCAACCTCTTTCCCCCATCTCACGGCCACTGTCTGAGTTCCGGCCTCCCCTTCCCTGGCAGGGTTGTTTCCATGTTGACTCCTGCGCTTGCCCTCCTCCCACACATCATTCACACGGCACATCCTCCTTTGCTCAGATCGTGCTGATCTGTCCAATCTTAGTAGGCGCTGCTGAAGCCACCGCGGCGGGCACTTGTGACAGCCCGTGATGCTGGTCCTTGTCCCAGGGTGGGGCCTGTGCCAGGGGACAAAACATTCACGCCACTCACAAGCCATTTTGCAAATCTAATGGTGTCCTTCTCTACGTAAAATCCTCCGCTGGCTCCCCAGGGCACAGGGTCCAGTCCCAGCATCCCAGAGGGGCATTCAAAGACCTTCATGACCTGGCATGGCTCCCTGGTCTCAGTCCCCGCCAATTTGCTACTTTCTCGGTGTTTTTCTGATGGCAGCTGGCAGAGACCCCGCTCCTGGCCTGGGCACAGCACTGTGTGGCACATGGTGGTGGGGGTCTGCTTAGAGACATGCTCATCCACATCCCTGGCTTGGTTGTAGGTTCCGGAAGGGAGAGATTGCCTATCATCCCTGTAAGCCCCAGGCCCAGTAAATGCCAGCTACCTAATGATGCGTGTCTCCCTCAGGCTCTGGCCCTTCTTCAGGGGAAGACCCAGATCCCTGCCTGCCTCAGCAAGGCCACAATGCACCAGAGGGCTTCTTTCAGGCACCTGCTCCTGCTGCTACAACTGGGTAAGTGCTCAGACGTGGGATGTGGGTGCAGGTGGCCTGGGAGGGGCTGAATGAGAAATGAAAAGGTGGGGGGTGGGGCAGAGGTGGGGCAGTGACTGGTTCAAAGCCTAACCTCCTTCTTTTCCCCCTAGCACTGCTCCTAGGAGCCACTCAGGGGAGGGAAGTGGTGCTGGGTAAGGCAGGAGGTGAGGTGGACCTACCCTGCAAAGCATCCCAGAAGAAGAGCATGGCATTCACCTGGAAAGATTCTCTAGGAACCATGATTCTGAGGTCTCATGACTTCCCCAGTATGACTTTAAATTTGCTTAAAGGTAGGTTGGCCCACTCCCCAGGAAGAAAGCATTATGAATCGAACATCCCTGGTGTCAGAGCTCTGCTCCTAGTAACCTCTGGCATCCCAGAGGTTTCAAGGTGACAGAGACCCAGGTGCATGTGTTAATTTTAAGTAATAATTATAACATTGTTTTTAGGAGGTTTTTTTTTTTTTTTTCCCTCACCTGAGGATAAGAGGATTTTTTATTTATTTTTTATTTTATTTTAGATGCTGGGGTTCTTGTCCCAGTGTTACAAAGGGTTCAGCAATCTGCAGAAAGGAGCTGATGCATAGATTAAGAAGGAGTCCAAAGATGAAAGATAATTTTGAAAGGCATTGGGAGTCAGAGGAGCTTCAGCTAAAGAACCTGAAGACTAACCCTTGTCTAAGGACCCCATGCTATTTATTAACACAATTTGTTCTAAGGCAATATGGAGACATACATTTCAAAGAGTAAGGTTTACAGAAGCATTGTCAGTTTGGGGAATAGCCTACAGCTGTTCAGGTGTTTGGCCGACAGGAAGCAATAACACGCAGATTTAAGATGCTCTGAGCTGTCTGGCAGCAAACTGTCATTCTATTGAAGTTTGGGGGAAGTGCTGTTTAGCTGTTCCAACAGGTAAACTATATATGTGGCTCAGTCCTTGTTGAGCCCAAGTTTCATCAACTTTTTGATGCAACTCTTTTTTAAAAAAAAATATATTTTATTGATTTTTCACAAAGAGAAAGAGAGAGAGATAGAGAGCTAGAAACATCAATGAGAGAGAAACATCGACCAGCTGCCTCTTGCACACCCCCTACTGGGGATGTGCCCGCAACCCAGGTACATGCCCTTGACCGGAATTGAACCTGGGACCCTTCAGTCCGCAGACTGACGTTCTACCACTGAGCCAAACCGGTTTTGGCGTTGATGCAACTCTTGTAATTATGACATGTTGGAATTGGTTCCTGGCATCAGAGAGAGAGAAAGAGAAGTGTGTGTGTGTGTGAGAGAGAGAGAGAGAGAGAGAGAGAGAGAGAGAGAGAGAGGGAAAGAGAGAAGCATCAATGTTATAAGAATATCAATTGGTTGCCTCTTTGAGGCCCTCTGACTGGGGATGAAACCCCTAACCTAGATATGTGCACTGACCAGGAAACAAACCCACAACCTTTTGGTGTTTGGGATGATACTCCAATCAACTGAGACACCTGGGCCAGGGCTAGTTTTTTGGTGTGTGTGTGTGTGTGTGTGTGTGTGTGTGTTTTACAGTGATCTTCTGTTTATGTCAAGTGATACTGGCTTCCTGTTTATTATAGTATATAAAGTTCCCTTTTAAATGAATTAATTTAATTTAATTTTTAAAAGTGGATCCATTTAGCCGAAGCCGGTTTGGCTCAGTGGTAGAGCGTCGGTCTGCGGACTGAAAGGTCCCAGGTTCGATTCTGGTCAAGGGCATGTACATTGATTTTGGGCACATCCCCAGTAGGGGGTGTGCAAGAGGCAGCTGGTCGATGTTTCTCTCTCATCGACGTTTCTAGCTCTCTATCTCTCTCCCTTCCTCTCTGTAAAAAATCAATAAAATATGTTACCAAAAAAATGGATCCATTTAAAAATATGTATTTCTATTGATTTCAGAGAGGAAGGGAGAAGGAGAGAGAAAAACATCAATGATGAGAGAGAATCATTGATTGGCTGCCTCTTGCACACACACCCACTGGGTGTGGGCTGCCTCGAGCCCACAACCTAGGCATGTTCCCATGACTGGAACCGAACCCAGGATCTTTCAGTCCACAGGCTGACTCTCTGAGCCAAACTAGCTAGGGCAAAAGTGAATCCTTTTTAAAATGTTACATAAATAGGACATGTAGATTTGGCCAAAATCATACATAAGGTATGTGAATAGTTGAAGTCTGGGAAATATGGCTGCAGCCCAAGACTGATTTTACTAGTGAGGAAACTGTGGCCCTCAAGAGGAAGCCCCTGCCCAGAGCCATGTACCCAGTGAGGGGCAGAGCTGGGTTGGAGCTCTAGTCCTCCAACTTTCAGGCTGGGCTCTCCTGTGGAAAACTATCCTCAGTGCTGTCAAACCTGAATTGGCCACAATACACAGGAAGCCATGTTTGTGGGAAATGGACAATTCCCACCCTGGCCGGTGTGCTCAGTGGTTAAGGTGTCCCTCTGTGCACAAGGCGTCTCGGGTTGATTCTGGTCAAGGGTACATTCATGGGTTGCAGGTTTGATTCCTAGCCCCAGTTGGGATGCATGGGGAGACAACCAGTTGATATCTCTCTCTCTCTCTCTCTCTCTCTCTCTCTCTCTCTCTCTCTCTCTCTCTCCTCTTTCTTCCTCCCTCCCTCTTTCCCTTCTACTCTCTCTAAAAATCAATGGAAAAATGCCCTCCAGTGAGGATTTAAAAAAAAAAAAAAGAAAAGAAATAAACATCTCCCCTTCCAGTGTGGATGTTCTTGCTGGGCTCTGAGAAATACCCAAATCCACTCTTCACATCTGAACATGAAAAAGCCATTCCCTAAAAACTGACAAAACCCCCAACTCCTGATCTCTTTCTGATAAAAACACAAAAGAGCTACTTCAAGAAGCCCCTACGATCAAACTAACCTTTGTCCTCCCCTGGACCATGGGCCCCTTGAACAGGGCCCAGGACCACAACTCACACAAATGCTGCAAGTGATTTTCCCATCTTAGAATTTTATTCTGCTAAATCGATTGAAATAAACTGATTTTCTGCTAGGACTTTATTATAAATTACTTTCCAAAGAAATTATACAGGTTTATGTTTCTGCCAACATTGTGTCAAGAAGAGTTTGGGCAACTACTTAATCTCTCTGGGCTTCAGTTTCCTTATCTGCAATGTAGGCAGAACAGTACCTATTTGTTGGTTGTTGTGCAGATTATTTGGGATGGCACATGTAAAGTGTTTGGCATGTAGGAGCTGGTGCTTTCTAAATATGATGTTACTTTATTTTGGGTTAGTGCGATATTGTCCTGGCCAGGTAAATGAATGTGATGGGGTTCTCTGACTAGGACAAGAACAGATTCTGCAGGAATTTAGTAATTTAGATGAGAAGAGTGGTGAGCTCTGCCTTCACCAGGGGTACCGTGTCTCCAGAATACCCCAACCTCCTCCCTATGACTTCTACTCCCAGGTACGTCCAAGCAGAGCAATCGTGTCGACTCAAAAAAAGCTCTGTGGAAGGAAGGATCCTTTCCTCTGGTCATCAGGAATCTTGAGATAACAGACTCAGGGATTTACAGCTGTACAGTGGATAACAAGGACACAGAAGTGGAACTTGTGGTGTTCAAATGTGAGTAGGGCAGACGGCCAATCACCTTCCCCTTCCCTCCCATCCCTGCACCCAAACCAAGGCCAAACTACCTGTCAGTATTTCTATAGTCCAGAGCCAAATGAGACTGGCCACCACCTCTCCTCAAACCCTCCTCAAGCCGTGGGTCAGACATGGGAGAGAGGAAAAGACCTAAAGAGAGGGAAGGAGAAGGGCAAGGAGCCAGAGGAAAGAGGGGGAGACAAGAAAAAAGAGGAGAAGGAGGAGGATGGAAGTGGGGAAGAAGAAGAGGGCTGGGGGTGGGCAGCTGGGCGTTGACTGAGATGTTGAGTGGGGCAGGGGTAATGGAGCCACTCTTCCTCTCCTGGCTTCTCCCCTTCTCCTTGGGGATAGAGTGTGCGTGACACAGGTGATCTGCTCCCTCCACAGTGAATGCCAAGTTGGATTTCCAAAATCGCATCCAATTGCTGCAGGGGCAGAGCTTGACCCTGACCTTGGAGAGCCCCTCTGGTAGAAACCCTTCAGTGGAATGGAAAGGTCCAGGGAATAGAGAACGGAGTAGGGGCAAGAGCCTCTCACTGTCCCGGCTGGAGTTTCAGGACAGTGGCACCTGGACATGCACCGTCTCCCTGGACACGAACAAACTGGTGTTTGAGATAAACATCTTGGTGCTGGGTAAGAGCTGCTCCTCTCTCCTGCAGATCCGCCCACTCCCCTTCCACTCCCTCAAAGGCTGACAGACCCTCCCCTCCCTCTGCTCTCATCGCTCTGCTCCTGGGTCTGGTACTAGAGGCCAGAGGGAGGCCAGGGCCAAGCTCCTCTAAAGCAAAGTCTATCCTAGGGATACCTGGCGCCCTCTCTTCCTCGGGGTGGTGCACATGGAGGAAGGAAGGGAGATGGGATGGAAGGATGTGAGGGCCCCACAGACCCCTGAAGGAGGCCCCAAAGGAGGAGTATCAAGGACACCTATTTTCTTTGTTGCCTCCACTCCCCACTCACCCACCAATTTGCAAACCCACTTACTCACTCGGCGGTACTAACCAGCCCTGAGGAAATGCTACATTCACCTTTAGAATCCCGAGCTAGGCTGAAACCGGTTTGGCTCAGTGGATAGAGCATCAGCCTGTGGACTGAAGGTCCCAGGTTCGATTCCGGTCAAGGGCATGTACCTTGGTTGCGGGCACATCCCCAGTAGAGGGTGTGCAAGAGGCAGCTGATCGATGTCTCATCGATGTTTCTTACTATCTCTCTGTAAGAAATCAATAAAATATTTTTTTTTTTTAAAAAAAGAAAGAAAGAAAAAAAGAATCCTGAGCTAGGCACAGGAGGAGTTGGGGTTGGGGGACCAGAATGCAGGTCTTGTCCTCTACGAGTATTTGTGTGACACAAGGTGGGGTAGTGTCTGGACTTGGATTCATAATCCTGGCTCTGACAACCTCAGACAATTTACTGAACCTCTCCATGCCTTGGATTCTGTAAAATGGGGATGATGCTCACTGTGCTGTACCTACCTGGTGGTGTTATGATAAGAATTAACACAATGTTAAAAAAAAAAAAAAAAAAAAAAAAGAATTAACGCAATGTAAGGCCCTTCGAACAGAGCCTAGCACACAGTAAGCCTATGTAAATGTTTGCTCTTATCTTGTGAAGGGTGCTAACTTAAGCACCTAAGAAATGCAGGCCAGCCCAGCTCGCTCAGCCATTGAGTGTCGATCCAGGAGCCAAAAGGTCACCGGTTCAATTCCTGGTCAGGGCACATGCCGGGTTTGTGGGTTGCATGTAGGAAGCAGCCGATTGATGATGTTTCTCTTTCATCAATGTTTCTGTCTCTCTTTGACAATCAATAAAACCACATAAATAAATAAAGAAAGAAATAAGCAAATAAATAAATGCAGGCCAAATACCCTCTGTGCTCCAGAGATCCTAAGCGGGGAGAGGACCTCTCTGCCTGGGCTGTTCTATGAAGGCTTCCAGGGGGAAGAGGAGTATGCTGGGGTGGAGAGATGAGAGAGAAGATTAGAGAGGTAGATGGGAATTCACGGGCCTGAAGTGACAACCTGGGTGTTTGTATGCCCCTGGTCCCCTCCCATCTCTTTGTTGCCCCCACCACATGCCTACCCCACTTTGTACACCCTCATCCTTCTATCTCCTCCTAACCCAGGTTCTCTCCCTCCCTTCCTCCCGCCCTTCCGCCAGCGTTCCGGAAGGTCTCTGACACGGTCTATACAAAAGTGGGGGAGCCCGTGGAGTTCTCCTTCCCACTCACCTTTGAGGATGAAGACCTGGTGGGAGAGCTGAGCTGGCAGGAGGAGGGGACCTCCTCCCTTCAGTCCTGGGTCACCTTCTCCTTGAAGAACAGGAAGGTGTCTAAGGGGACGGTGCGCAAAGACCGGAAGATCCAGCTGAAGGAGACGCTGCCCCTCCACTTCAGCCTGCCCCAGGCCTCGCTGCAGGACGTCGGTTCTGGACACCTGACCCTGAACCTCAGCCAGGGGCAGTTGCATCAGAAAGTGAACCTCGTGGTGATGAGAAGTGAGGAGCCAGGCTGAGAAGGGGGAGACGGGACAGGAGGACATGAGTTGGAGGGGACTGACCCAGGGCTCCTTCTGAGGCAGGACAGGCCCCCCTGAGGATGCCTAAGCCCTAGTGGTCTAATGGGGCTGAGGGAGGGCCCACTGGTTTGGGGGCTGGTGTTAAACGAAAACCGGAATCCATATGTCCTACCCTGACATCTGTGAGCCCGCTTAGGGCCCGTTCCACGGAGAATCCCCAACGGGCATATGCTGACAACCAGGGTTCTAGTTCTGTCTCTGTGCCCCCACCTCCACCATGACGCCTGCGAAGCCCCCTACCTGTGTGTGTCTGCTTTCTACTAACGAGGATGACAGGTTTTGCTCTGAGTGTACTCGTGAGGATGGCAACGTCAGGCTCCACGCTGAGTTCCTCGCTTCTCTATTTCCTTAATCACCATAACAACTCCGCAAGCAATAATGGCTCACACTTGATGCTTCCTACATGCCAGGCCCCATTTAAGAGCTCTATAAGTACTTGTGCATTAATAATTGTCTGGGGCTCGGGTTGCTAAGTAACTTGCTCAGACACAGACTATAAGCATCGGGGCTTGGGTTTGAATCCAAGACTGTTCTGTCGGACCTCAGAAGCTGTGTTTTCCCTGTGAAATCTGTACGAAAATGTGCTTTGAGATGCCAAGAGAGGAACTTTTGGTGGTTCTACCGATTCCCCTTAGAGCACAGAGGTGCCAAGAACCCAGAGGTGCAGGCTCCTAACCTCAGGCTCTTGTCCCTCCACAGTGACCAAGTCCCAGAACCAAGTGACCTGTGAGGTGTTGGGGCCCAGCCCCCCCAAGCTGACTCTGAGCTTGAAGTTGCACAACCAGTCTGCAAAGGTTTCAAGTCAGGAGAAGCAGGTGCAGCTGCTGAACCCTGAGGTAGGGACGTGGCATTGTCTACTGACCGACAAGAACCAAGTCCTGCTGGAATCCAGTGTCGAGGGTGAGTGAGGCCTAACCCCAAGCCCCTGCCTCCTCAGTGGTGAGACCTGCCCGGGGTTGGCAAAGAAAACCCAGAGTCCCAGCCTCCCAACTCCCCTGAGATGATAGGTGGGTTATGGGCATGGTGTCCGGGCACAGGGGCGATAAGATGAAGTAGGGGATGATCCTGGACCCTAGGTACCCACCTGTGGTCCTGAAAGTTCCCAACGCCCCAAGGTCTGCAGCCCATGAATGGGGCCCACCAAACAAGAGTCCCATTCTTGCTCCTTTCCTAACCCAGCCACCAGCACTCGCCCATGTGTGTGTGTGTGTGTGTGTGTGTGTGTGTGCAAGGCACATAGAATGGATCACTGCTCCTAGCTACCTGTATTTCCCTGTAGTCTTTAAACCTTAAAAACCCTTCCCCAGCCTTTCCCCTCCAGCCCGGTGGCCAGTGGGAGCCCCGAAGATCCTGCCCCGTCTCCCAGCCCCAGCATCAGACCCAAGTGTGGCTGGGCAGCCAGGCCTCCCTCAGGCTTCCAGAGAGTGGTGCCCAGAGGGAAGGAAGGTAATGAGCTGAACACACCTCTCTTCTCTCTTGCAGTTTTGTACCCAGAGTTAACCCAGTCCTGGCCAAAGCTCCTGGCCATTGTGCTAGGCAGCTTTCTGGTTTTCACTGGGATCTGCATCTTCTGCTGTGTCAAATGCTGGCACCGGAGGGTGAGTAGATTTCCTCAGACCCCGATACCCACCCCCACTCCCCGACACACACACACACACACACACACACACACGCACACACACACACAGCAACTAGGGTGACCTGCTTCTGCTCTGTTTCTCTCTGCCCACCGTCGAGTTCCCTTATTGCAGACTGGGCTCTGTCCCAGATCCCAGGGAGGGAGAGGCAGGAAGGAGCAGAGAGTCAACTCTGGGACAGATGGCCTCAGCCACAGTATCTGCTTCTCCTCTCCCAGCTTTCCCCACTCCCCCCTCCAAGGGGCACCTCCCTTCTGGAGGCCTGGGACCCTCACTACTCCTCTCCTTCTTCCTGGACAGCGCAAGGAAGAGCGGATGTCTCAGATCAAGAGACTCCTCAGTGAGAAGAAGACCTGCCAATGCCCCCAGTAAGGAACTTGGCGAGGGGTGGGGAGGGATGAAGAGGGGGTGAGAATGGGGGGCTAGGGGGAGAGGAGGCGGGGGAGAGGATGCCGGTGAGGAGATGGGGGCTAAGGGAGGTGGTGGAGGGGAGAGAAGGGTACAGAGGATGGCTGAGGAGGTAGGAAGCAGGGAGGATGTGGCCCAGAGGCCATTACCAAACTGGAAGAGAAGGGGCCATGCAGGTCCTAGAACTCAAAGAGGGAGGAAGAGCCTTGCTCCTCATACGCTTTTTTCCCCCTCCAGCCGGTTCCAGAAGACATGCATCTGAGGCACTGGGCCAGGGGGAGCTTCCCACTTGCAGCCTCCCCAGCTGTCCACCCCGCGTTCCTGCTGGGCTCCTGGGCCTGCGGACCAGATGAATGTAGCAGATCCCAGCGCCTTTGCTCTCCTTGTCCACAGCTGGCCGTCGGGTCTCCTCCTCCAGAGGCTCCCTCACACCACCGCCCCCCGCCATCCCCTCTTCTGTTGAACCCTAGCTCTTCTTTGATGATTTCCTCTCAACTCTGCCCCTCACGGCCCCCTTGGGTCCCAGGGGAGCATTCAGGACCCGCCCTGCCTGGCCTGGAGCGTGAGGCTGGGTGACTGAAGCACGAAGCCCAGGGCTGTCATCTTACAGGAGAGAACCTTGGGGCCAGAGGAGGCAGGGAGCCGGCCAAGGTCACACAGCCCGTCAAGGACAGGTCCAGGTCTAACCGGCCCTCTGTTCCATCCTGACACACCCCCATGTCCACAGCTCACACTTGTGCACGGACGCAGCTCCTTATCACTCAAGCAGCACACCCAGTTTATAAATCAGTTTCACATCCTTTACATATTTAAGCCTACAAGGCCCTTCGCCAGTTTGGCTCAGTGGATAGATAGAAGGTTGGCCTTCGGACTAAAGGGTCCCAGGTTTGATTCCAGCCAAGTGCACATGCCTGGGTTGTGGGCTCAGTCCTCAGTGGGGAGTGCGCTGGGGGTAGCCAATCAATGGTTCTCTCTCATCATTGTGTTTCTATCTCTCCCTCTCCCTTCCTTTCTGAAATCAATAAAGAAATATATTTTTAAAAAGAAAAAGAAAATCCTACAGGGCTGGTAGTGACAGGATCAAGACGAGCATTTCCGGTTTATAGACCAGAAATAGAACTCACAGAGGTCATATTGATTGCCCAAGGTGGTAAGTGCCGGGGTCCAGACTGGCCCAGACAGCTTGGCCCCTAGTTCTATGGCTGTTTCTTGAACACAGAACAAACACCACACATATCTCTGCAGCTGGCTAGTCACAGATGCTCAGTGTGCACCTTAGGGTTCACAGGAGCACCTTGGGGAGGACCTGCCTCAGAGAGGTCAGAACATGGAGGAGGGCCTTCCTGCCTAAACTCCTTCATCACCTGTGGGAGGCAGAATCCTGTTACCAGAGGACAAAGCCTTCAGCTCTCCTGTCAGAGCGCAGGCTGGGAGCAGAGTATCCAGTGACCCACCACGCACCCTGTGCAGAACCTTCTGGAAGATGAATCTTGTCAGGGGGGTCAGGCACTGGGGAGGAGTGAACACACTGAGAGGACTTCCTGGGAAGGGTGATAGGGCTGGACTGGCTCAGCTCCTTCATCCTCCCGCCCCCCAAAACCACTCAGGATACAGGAGAATGAAGGTGACACGTGTTCTTCCTCTTCTTAACTCAGTTCTCGCAGGATCCCCAGCCTGCTCTGCCTCTCCTTCCATCTCCCTCAGTCCCGATGCCCTTTCCTTCCCCTTCCCCCCAGCCTGCCTCTTCCAAGAAGCACACCCAGTTCTGCCAGAGCTCCCATGGCTTGCTTTGTATTCCTGCCCATTCCCCACCCCTACCTCCCTGAGCTGACAGAAAAATACAGTCAACTTACGATAAAGAAGATGCTCTTCTTCATTTGTGTGTGTGTGTGTGTGTGTGTGTGTGTGTGTGTGAGAGAGAGAGAGAGAGAGAGAGAGAGAGAGAGAGAGAGAGAGAGAGAGAGGTGAACTCTGGGCATCCAGAATCTTCTGATCTATGGGGTCAGACCCAGGGCAGAGGTTTCTCCTGGCAGGGACACATTATTTGGAGACTGGTTACCCACCTACCCACCCCCAATGGGGCCTGCATGTGTGTGTGTGTGTGTGCAGCTAAGACTGTGTAGTCACGTGTGTGCGATGGATGCACTGAGGGGGAGAGTCTGCGGGGGTGTGTGTGTTCCTTCCACACATGCATGTGTGTGTGTTGGAGGGCAAGGGCCATGAGAAACTGAAATGTGTGCCTGCACATTGTGTGTCTCCCACAAGGCATGTGAGCATGTGTTCCAGGCGGGTGTGTGTGTGTGTGTGTGTGTGTGTGTGTGTGTGTGTGTCCCTCCATCCTTTTAGACCTGTGCACCCCCACCCCACGAGCAGCCCAGCCTCAGCACCGCCCCCCTCGTTGCCCCCAGCCCCTGGCACACACCCGCGGAGCTGCAGCCCTCCCGCGGATGCACAGAGAGTGACACACGGTGACACACGCTTCCTCCTCCCGGAACAGCCCGCTCCTCAGCCCCCCAGCCCAGCCAGCTGCCTCCTGGAGCTGGTGCTCATGTGGAAGCCGGGATGGGGTGGGGGTAGGACGCGAACCGTTTCACCAATCCTCCATCCTCCTCGCCCCCTCCCTCCCTCCTGGCGCCTTCCCCGCCCCTCCTCCTGCAAGTCACCGCCGTCCAGCTCCCCGCCCCGCACCGGCTCCCCTTCCCCGTGAAAGCTGTCCTGCGGCCTCAACGCGGGGCTCGGGGGCGCTGGGACTTGGGGGAGCCCCGGGGGCAGAGCCCGGAGCTGCCGGCGGAGCGGGGAGGCCGGGCCGGGGGAGGGAGGCCGGGAGGGGCGGGAGGGGCGGGCGGGAGGGAGGAGGGCGGCGGGCGGGAGCGGGCGGCCGCGGAGCCGGCGAGCGGAGCCGGAGCGGCGCGGTCTCCATGGCAGTGCGGGGCGCAGCCCGAGGTAAGCCGACCCCGGCCCGGTCCCCCGCGGCCTCCTCCCCGCTCTCCCCCGCCCCCGCCGCTGCCTCTCCCCTCCGCCCGCCCCTCCTCCCGGCCACCTGCTGGGTCTGCCCCGAAGAGCCTGGTGGGCGGCGGGAGGGAGGAGCCGCGTGACCTTACCCCTGCACCCCGAAGGGCGAGGGGCCCCGTACCCCCCACCCTGGGGTGTCCAGATCTCCCGTCCCACCTCCCTCTGATGTTTCTCTGCCCTTCACCTCCCTCTCTGTCCTTCAGATCCTGCCTGTCTTCCTCCCTCTCTGACTTCCCATCTTTTCTCTTCCTGGACCCACCGGCTGGGCCTGGGCCTGGGCGGGCGTGGGTGGGTTAGGGGTCCGAGGTTGTCCTAGCGGAAAATGGGGGAGCCGCTCCTGACCCAAGTCTCCCCACCTCCCTCTGGCTGGTCATTGCCATAGCAACCAGGGTGTACTTGGCTCCAGAGAGAAGACAAAGGTGGGTGGACCAGGACCTCTTGAGGAGGGCCAGGGTCTGAGGTTCTTCCGGAGGGAGGGACCCTCCCCATCCCCTCCCACGGCTGTGCTCCTTTCCCCCCATGTACCGCAAAGCCATGATGCCCATCCGTCCTGCCCCCACTCTGTTTGGGGTTGCACCTGATTTCCTCTTGACTTAGTCCCCTCCCCAGGGCTTCCTGGAGCTCAGCATTCAGCGTCATGGGATTCAGAACTATCCTCCCTCCCATCGGAAGGAAACTGAGGCTGGGGCAGGGGACTCAGTGTCTGCGGGAGGGAATGGGCAGCTCAGCATCCTGAGCTTCTCGTCCCAGCCTCTCCATTCCCTGTTGCCTCTCTCCCTCCTTCCCTCCAGCCCTCCCTCCTCCAGCGACCTCTCCAGGGGTCTCTGGGCTTTTCCTTCTATTTTCAGATACTATCACTTTGCCTCTCCTTTCTCTTCTGCTGAAACTCTCCTCCTTCCTCCCCCCCTAGTTCCCCCTCTTTCCATTTCTGGATGCTTCTGATGTCAGTGGTTTCCCCGCCTTCAGGTTCCCTAGGCCCCCCCTTGGTCCCAGCCTCTTTCCTCCCATCTTCCCAGACTCCTGGTGAGCTGGAAGGTGGTCATGCAGCCGTGGGAAACGGGCTGAGCACCAAGACCATGGGCTCGGGAGCCTGGATGGTGGGGGTTGGGGGGCTGTGATACCATATCCCAGTTTACCCTGAACCCTCAGGAAGTCACGCATCTGCCGCCAGCAGCTCTGAAGAGAGACTCTGGGGCATGAAGACAGTGGTTGAGCAGTACTGAGCAGGGGCTATGAGAAGAAGGCACCAGACAGTGCCAGAGGGAGGAAAAGGGGCTGAAAGGGGGTGGGACACAGGAGGTCAGCATGCCTTCTTTTCTGGAGGTCTGGAAACAGGGCTCTTACCGGTGTGGGGTGGCTGAACAGCTGTCTGATGTAAGACAGTGACCCCTAGCAACCAGGCATTTCCATGGCTGCATGAGAAGGGGAGCACTGGAAGCCATTGGGAGACCAGCCTGGGCCTGATCTTTGCCCGCCCCCCCCTCTACATCGCATCTCTCCCTTGCAGTTTGTGCAGGTGGCTGAGCCTCACCCCCACACGCCTTGGGGCATCCAGAAGACCCCCTGCTGGTCAAGAAGCAGAGGAGGAAGAAGAGATCTGCAAGTCGGGGCATGGGGCCCGAAGCTCCCCAGCCCACCTCATAGTTGGCAGAGCAGCAGCTTGCGTCCCCAGTCAACTGCAGGGGTCCTTCCGGAAGGGCCCCGCTCAGTATGGAGGCTGAGGACCACTTCTGCTGAGCCCCAGTCCCTTCCCCTGCCCCCCCACAGCTGACCTCCCCTGGGTCAGTTAATGCAATGCTGAGCGTTAGGGTGGGCCGAGGGGCTGCCTGCCTCCCTGCCCGGCAAGGACTGTGGGCGTCATGGCGGCGTGTGTGAGTGGGGCTCCTGGGTGAGACCTAGCCCCCACCCCCAGGAGTTCTGAGGGGGTGGGGGTGGGGCCGAGAACAGGATGGCTCGGGGCGGGGCAGGGGCCGAGGAAGCCTCCCTGCGCTCCAACGCGCTGTCCTGGCTGGCCTGTGGGCTCCTGGCCCTGCTGGCCAACGCCTGGATAATCCTCAGCATCTCCGCCAAGCAGCAGAAGCACAAGCCTCTGGAGCTGCTGCTCTGCTTCCTGGCGGGCACGCACATACTCATGGCGGCCGTGCCCCTCACCACCTTCGCCGTGGTGCAGCTCAGGCGCCAGGCATCCTCCGACTATGACTGGAACGAGAGCATCTGCAAGGTCTTTGTGTCCACCTACTACACGCTGGCCCTGGCCACCTGCTTCACCGTCGCCTCCCTCTCCTACCACCGCATGTGGATGGTGCGTTGGCCCGTCAACTACCGCCTCAGCAATGCCAAGAAGCAGGCGCTGCATGCCGTCATGGGCATCTGGATGGTCAGCTTCATCCTCTCCACACTGCCCTCCATTGGCTGGCACAACAACGGTGAGCGCTACTACGCCCGCGGCTGCCAGTTCATAGTCTCCAAGATTGGCCTCGGCTTTGGCGTCTGCTTCAGCCTCTTGCTACTTGGGGGCATTGTCATGGGGCTGGTCTGCGTGGCCATTACCTTCTACCAGACGCTGTGGGCCAGGCCCCGGAGGGCACGGCAGGCCCGGAGAGCAGGGGTTGTTGGTGGGGCCAAGGGGAGCGGGCCAGGGGGCTTGGTGACGCGGCCAGCCTTTGAGGTGCCAGCCATTGTGGTGGAAGATGCCCAAGGGAAGCGGCGGTCCTCGCTGGATGGCTCCGAATCGGCCAAGACATCCCTGCAGGTCACCAACTTGGTCAGCGCCATCGTCTTTCTCTATGACTCACTCACAGGGGTGCCCATCTTGGTGAGATTGGGGTCCCCCTCCCCTGTTCTCCCCAAACCAGCCCCAGCACGATCACCTGATCTCCAACCCCATCATCCATCTTCCTCTCCTCCATCCATTCCCACTCCATCATCCATCTCTATCATCCATCTTCCAGTTCCCATTACCCCCAGCTCCATCATGTTTTCCAGTTCCCACTGCTGAACCCCATCCTCCATTCATCCTTCAGCCCCACGACTTGTCCTCCTGCTCCATCATCTGTTACCCCCCCCCCCCCAGACCTATTATCCAGCAGCTGAGCTCCGTTTTCCATCCCCTAATGCCTTCTGGATATCACAGGGTCTCTGAGTAACTCCTGGGTGGGAACCTCAGAGAGCTCACCCCATCACCCCAACCTTCTGCCTCCCTATCTGGCCCCTGCTCCTGAATGTTTCTCTGTCTTCAGGTTTCCTGTGCCACCACCTCTGCTCCTCTCCCTCTGGACCCAGGGCTTTGCTCTGGAACTCTCCCCCGGCCTTCCTCCGAGTCAGTCCCTTCCCCTCTATTCATTCTGTCTCTGCCTCCAACGTTGCTTCTGTCACGGTCCGGTGTGACCCGGCCCTCCCCGCTCCTTCCTGACTTCTTTCCCACCAGCTGCGCTAGGATATCGGATCTGGGGCGAAGCGGGCCCCGGGGCTCCGGGCCCTGACCCGGCGGCGCCGTTCCCCGTCCTCCCGCCAGGTGGTGAGCTTCTTCTCGCTGAAGTCGGACTCGGCGCCGCCGTGGATGGTGCTGGCCGTGCTGTGGTGCTCCATGGCGCAGACGCTGCTGCTGCCCTCCTTCATCTGGTCCTGCGAGCGCTACCGCGCCGACGTGCGCACCGTGTGGGAGCAGTGCGTGGCCATCATGTCCGAGGAGGACGGCGAGGACGGTCAGCGGGGGCCCGGGCTCTTCCCCTGGCTTCGGCTCCCTGCTCTGCTCCTTTCTGCCAGTTCTTCTCCCTGCGGGGACGGGCTGCCAGGAGTGCCCCCTGCCGGCCGGAATCTGCCCTGCCCCTGGGCTGACTTCCACACTCCACACACACACACACACACACACACACACACACACCCTCCCTCCCTCCTAGGGGCGTCTGTTCCCCTCTGGAGGTCCACCTATCCAGCTGTGCCTCCGCGGGGCAGGGGCCTGAGAAACAGCCCAGAGCCCTAACCACCGTGAAGGGAGGGTGTGGAACTAAAGGGAAGCTAAGCTCCCTATTTTTATTTTTTAAAATATATTTTATTGATTTTTTACAGAGAGGAAGAGAGAGGGATAGAGAGTTAGAAACATCGATGAGAGAGAATCATCGATCAGCTGCCTCCTGCACATCCCCCACTGGGGATGTGCCCGCAACCAAGGTACATGCCCTCGCCCGGAATCGAACCTGGGACCTTTCAGTCCGCAGGCAGACGCTCTATCCACTGAGCCAAACCGATTTCGGCAAGGGAGGCTAAGCTCCCTAAAAGGGACCCCAGCTATAGGGACAGCTTTGTGGGATGTGTGGGGGTGGCGGTGGGGGTTGTTTCAGTAAGCATGTGTATATGTTTGAGGCATCAGGAATTCAGCATTGAACCAATCTGAACCATCCAGCAACAAACCTATCTCCCTTTCCCCTTGGAGCTTACAGAGTAGGGGGAACAGAGAGGTTGTCTGGGGGAACTTAACCAAAGGGGCTGGGAGATAGATTTTCAAGGAAAGCTGGGGCTTTCCTTGCCTGGAACCTCTCTGCCCCTTCTCTTTCCCAGATGGGGGCTGCGATGACTATGCAGATGGCCGGGTGTGCAAAGTCCGATTTGACGCTAACGGGGCCACGGGACCAGGGGACCCCACCCAGGTGAAGTTGCTGCCTGGGAGGCACATGCTCTTTCCCCCTCTTGAGAGGGTCCACTACTTACAGGTATGGGGCCAGGGGGTGTACCTCCTATTCTGGGTGTCCCCTCATTGCTTGTCTCCAGTCTCTGTTATTCGTTCCCCACACCCCCCATTCCCTAGCCCTGGCCTGCAGGGCGCATAAAAAGTAGGGGAATGAAAGGTATGGCAAGAGAAACTCCCCTTCAGACCTCTCAGAGCCAGGTTTGCCTATCAGAGGGTGTTTTCCGTGTAATGCCCGGGGAGGCGGGGGTAAGGGCCATCTTGCAGAGTCCCCACTTTGGCCCCTTCAGCACCTCTGGGTCTACTTGCTCCTCTCCCCAGGTCCCTCTGTCCCGCCGTCTGTCCCACGACGAGACCAACATCTTCTCTACTCCTCGGGCGCCGGGCTCCTTCCTGCACAAGTGGTCGTCCTCGGATGACATCCGGATCCTCCCGGCCCACAGCCATGCTCTGGGCGGCCCTCCCGGGTACCTGGGACAAAGACAGAGGCTGGAGGATGAGGAGGACGAGGAGGAAGGCGGAGGGCTGGCCAGCCTGCGGCAGTTCCTGGAGGGCGGCCTTCTGGGGTCCGGCGGGGGACCTCCCCAGGGGCCGGGCTTCTTCCGGGAGGAGATCACCACCTTCATTGACGAGACACCTCTGCCTTCTCCGGCTGCCTCTCCGCCCTGGCCCAGGCCGCCAGGCCTCTCGCCCCGCCGCCTCTCCCTCGGGTCCCCGGATAACAGAGCCATTGGACTGCCTCTGGGGCTGAGTGCCGGGAGACGCTGCTCCCTGACAGGAGGTGAGGAGAGTGCAAGAGCTTGGGGAGGCTCCTGGGGTCCAGGGAACCCCATCTTCCCCCAGCTGACCCTGTGAGCCCAAGCGGGCCTGTTGGACTCAGAGGAGGGGGCCCGGGTAGGTAACGCCTCCTCCCGGGCCTGCGCCGAGGGCAGCTGCCTCCAGACGTCAGGGAGATGGGCACTGGATCTGGGGTCCTGGGGCCCCTCCTGTCTCCCATCCAAGTAACCAGATGCCCTACTCACCTTCTGTTACCCCTAGTAAAATGTATTAAAGTCTGAAGTGTTACCATGGAAACCTCTGTGTGCAGTGTGCTGTGGTGGCAAAGGGTACGGCCGGTGGCTTGGGGGATGGAGTGGCTTATAGAGGACAAACAGAACAGGGGGAGCGGACAGAGGCACAGAAATACCCACGGAGGAAGACAAATTTAATCATGCAAACATACACAGAGAAGGGCTTACAAGAGCATCTCATGGGGGCGGGGGCATGGGGAGCCACTGGTTTGGGGAGTGAAGGATCTTTGTCCAGATCTGTGGAGGTGTTTTAGGGGGTGACCCTGTCCTCCATGCCTCTTTCCCCAAAGTCCATGTTACTGGGCAGGAAAGGGTTTGGGCCTGAGTTGGGTGGGGGAGGGCTGGTGACTCCCTTTCCTGGGGTCTCAGGTTCTGGCCCTTGCCTTCTTCTGACCATGATTTGTTTCTTGGTCGGTTTCTCATCCCACACTACCCAACTCTTCTTTTTAAAAATATTTTTAAAATATATATATATATATATATTTTTTTTTTTTAAATATATTTTATTGATTTTGTACAGAGAGGAAGGGAGAGAGATAGAGAGTCAGAAACATCAATGAGAGAGAATGCATCGATCAGCTGCCTCTTGCACACCCCCTACTGGGGATGTGCCCGCAACCAAGGTACATGCCCTTGACCGGAATCGAACCCGGGACCTTTCAGTCCCCAAGCCGACGCTCTATCCATTGAGCCAAACCGGTTTCGGCTTAAAATATATTTTATTGATTTTTTTTTTTTACAGAGAGGAAGAGAGAGGGATAGAGTTAGAAATATCGATGAGAATCATAGATCTGCTGCCTCTTGCACGCCCCCTACTGGGGATGTGCCCGCAACCAAGGTACATGCCCTTGGCTGGAATCAAACCTGGGACCTTTCAGTCTGCAGTCCGACGCTCTATCCACTGAGCCAAACCGGTTTTGGCTAAAAATATTTTTTATTAACTTCAGAGAGGAAAGGAGAGGATGAGATAGAAAATCAATGAGAGAGAATCATTGATCAGCTGCCTCCTACCTCACATTGGAGATTGAGACGGCAACCCAGGCATGTGCCCTGATTGGGAAACGAACCGTGTCCTGGTTCATAGGACGCTGGACCAACTCTTCTTCTTCATCTTCTTCTTTTTTAAAAAATACTTTTTTTTTATTGATTTCAGAGAGGAAAGGAGAGGGAGAAATAGAAACATCCATATGAGAGAGAATCACTGATTGGCTGCCTCCTGCACGCCCCCTAGTGGGGATCCCGGGCATATGACCTTGACCAGAATTGAACCCGGGACCCTTCAGTCCGCAGGTCTCTGCTCTATCCACTGAGCCAAATCGGTTAGGGCAACCCAACTCTTCTTAAAGACTGCTTTCTCCATTTACCTTTTTTAAAAAAAATTATTGCTTGCTTTTAGAGACAGAGAGGAAGGTTAAGGGCGAGAGAAACATCCATCTGTTGTTCCATCTATTCATGCACTCATTGGCTGTTTCTTGTATGCGCCCTGACAAGGGATGGAGCCTCCAACCATGGAGAATCCGGGACACTCGAACCAACTGCACTGCCAGGACTCTCTCCACTCTCTGCCAGGCTCCATCTGGCTTCTCTCTCACACACTGGGCTCTCCAGGTCTCGCTGGCTCCGCTCATTCATTCCTTCTCCCTTCCTCCCCTCCTCTCCATCTCTTCTTCCTTTCCCCTCCCTCTTCCTGCCCCCTTTCCTCTCTCTCCTCCGCGCCCGCATTTTCCTCGGGCAGCCGCCGCCGGAGGCTCGGGCACCATGCTCCGGCTCCTCCGCTTGCTGCTGCTGCTGCTCCTGCTGCCTCCCCCGGGGTCCCCCGAGCCCCCGGGCCTGGCCACGCTGTCCCCCGGGGCGCCCCCCCAGGCTCCCGACCTGCTCTACGCCGACGGGCTGCGCGCCTACTCGGCGGGGGCCTGGGCGCCGGCCGTGGCGCTGCTGCGGGAGGCGCTGCGGAGCCTCGACGAGCTGGGCCGCACGCGGCGGGACTGCGGGGTGCGCTGTGCGGCCGAGGCCGCGCTCCCCGACGCCCCGGGCCCCGACCCCCCGCCCGGCGCGGCCCCCGGGGCCTGGGAGCGGCTGCTGCTCCGCGCCGCGCTGCGCCGCGCCGAGTGCCTGAGCCAGTGCGCCGCGCGGAGGCTGGGGCCCGGGGGCGCGGCGCGGCTCCGCGTGGGGGGCGCCGTGCGGGACGCCTTCCGCCGCCGGGAGCCCTACAACTACCTGCAGAGGGCCTACTACCAGGTGCGGGGCCGCCCGCCCCGCGGCGCTGTGCTGCGGGCGCTCGCCGGGAGGGGGCGGGCTGCAGCGCCGGGGCCCCGGGTGGGGCTGCGGGGGGCGGTCTAACGGACCTCCGGCCTCTGCGCGGGCCCTGCGCCCCGGACCCCATCAGAGTGCGAGCAAAGCTGGCGTGGGACGGGGTCGGGAAGCGGGTGGAAGGAGATGGAAGACGGAGGGAAGGGGCCTGAAATCTCAGAAGGTCTTTGGCCTCCGAGGGGGGGTGGGGCGGGGAGCGCCGCTTCTTCCTGGGGGTGCGGCGGAGAGGGTTGGGGCGAAAGCCGCCGCTGGGAGGGGAAGGAAGGGAGGAGGGTGAGAGGGAGCCTTCCCTTGAGGCCGAAGGGAGCTTCGGGGAGGTGAGAGGAGAGGGGCCGGGCTGGGGGCCCGTGAGCACGGACGTCTAGGGGTGCGGTGTGTGTGTGTGTGTGTGTGTGTGTGTGTGTGTGTGTGTGTGTATGTTGGGGAGGGGCGGCATGGACACTGCGCAGCTCCTGGACGGTAGCTGCAGTCTACGTGGCTCGGGGGAGAGAGGGGCTGGTCACATACCTCCCCTCAGGGTCCTAGAGACCTACGGGTTTCGCTGGTCCATCAGGTCTCTGCCCCTGACCACTGTGCTTAGCCCTCACTCACACCTTGTCTCCCACACTGAGGCCCCTCTGCCCACAGCTCACCGGCTCCAGAGTGCTTAGTCCCCTTTCCTTGGCTGCCAGACTCCTGAGAGGGCCGACATACTGATGTCCCTGGGGCCTGGAGCTTGTGGGTGGGCAGTTGGCACTGAGGAGTCTTCCAGAAAAGGCTCTGGGGCAGCCCCAGGGGTGTGTCTGGGATGGGGAGGCTGGTGAGAGGCAGAGGTCTGACACCCACCCCTCAGGGCACTGACTCCCTCTTCCCCCCAATCCAGCTGAAGAAGCTGGACCTGGCAGCCGCTGCAGCTCACACCTTCTTTGTGGCAAACCCCACGCACCTGCAGATGTGGGAGGACATGGCTAAGTACAGACGCATGTCTGGGGTTCGGCCGCAGAGCTTCCGGGACCTGGAGACGCCCCCACACTGGGTGAGACCCTCAGCAGAACCCCTGTGCCTCCCCCAGCCCTTGACTAACAGGATACACCAGTCTCCCGGGACTGTATCCCTATGTGTCTTGGGCATCAGGAGATCTGAGTACCGTTCTCCGTGACCTTGGGTGGGACTTCATTTTCTTCCTGGGGATCCCTAAGCCCCACGTTCTAACGCTCCAATCCTGAGGCCAAGGCCAAGGAGACACCCCTCCCCTCTTTCTACCTCCCAATCCCATTGGGCACCCCCTCCCCCAGGGTCTCAGGGGTCTGACTACTCCCCTCTCCAACAGGCGGCCTATGACTCCGGCCTAGAGCTCCTGGGGCGCCAGGAGGCAGCACTGGCCCTGCCCAGGCTGGAGGAGGCCCTGCAGGAGAGCCTGGCTCAGGTGGAGAGCTGCCGGGCTGGCTGCGAGGGGCCTGAGGAACTCCAGAGAGAGGAGGAGGAGGAGGAAGGACCCGGGAGCCAGGGGGGTCTCTATGAGGCTATTGCCGGTAAGGCGCTGGGAGGATGGTGGAGTCACAGAGCCAGGAGGGGAAGCGCGACAAGCTGAACAGCGTGTGTGTGTGTCCTCCTCAGGGCACTGGATTCGGGTCCTGCAGTGCCGGCAGCGCTGTGTGGAGGAGACAGCCACACGCCCTGGTCGAAGCTTCCCGGTCCCCGACTTCCTCCCCAGCCAGCTGAGGCGGCTGCAGGAGGCCCACGCTCAGGGTCCGTTGGGGAAGGGATGATGGATTCCAATCCTGGGGGTGATGGGTTGGAAACCGGTCTAGGGGAAGGCTTGTCTTTGAGGGTGTCCTGAGCCCCGTCTCTTCATCCCTCCCGTCTGTCTCTGGATCTGTCCTTGGTCAGGGCTCTGCGGGGACCATCACTGCTGGAGGACTCTCACTGGCTTTGCTTGGGCTCCACTGAGGGAAGCTCAGGAGATGGGTCCCAGGGCCCCTCCTGCCCTTGCTGCTTCTCGCCTTCCTCTATTCTCTCCTCTCTTCCTCCCTTTGCGTTCTGCCCCTCAGCTCCGGTAGGTTTGAGGTAGGCTTTGACAAGAAGCAGTGGGGAGGGGGGTGGAGGGGGCCCTCGGCGTTGGTTGGCATTGGGAGAGCACCTTTCTGTCCACCTGTCCTCCCTGCCTCTGCCCGGGACCATGACCATCCTCGGTCTGGGTGCCCACCCCTCCCTGTGGCTCTCTCTCTCCAGTGGGGAATCTGTCCCAGGCTGTGGAAAATGTCCTGAGTGTCCTGCTCTTTTATCCGGAGGATGAGGCTGCCAAGGAAGCTCTGAACCAGTACCAGACCCAGCTGGGGGAGCCGAGACCCGGCCTGGGGCCGAGAGAGGTACCTGTCCACCCCACCCTCACCCTGTGAGCTCTAACTCACACAGACCTGAGCCGTCACCTGGACTCTGCCCCCTTTTTTCATCCCAGCCCAAGCTCTCTAGTCCCAGAGGCAACCCCAAGTCCAGCACTGACGCGTCTTCACGCCCTGCTCCCCACTTCGGATTCCACATCCAAGTGCCAGTCCATCTCTTCCCTCATCCTCACTCCTGCCTGCCCCCACCCTACACACAGACTTCTCCCCCAGTTAGAGCCCAGGTGTCCTGCAGCGGCTGAGGGAGGAACGCTGAGCGAGAGGCATGGTGAAGTGTGTATGGAGCAGGCAGACTGTCCCCTGGAACCTGGGGACAGTCTGCCTTCACTTCCCTGCTCCACTTACCTTCTCCTTGTCTCTCCTCCTCCCCGTCCCCTCACTGTCCACCCGCCTCAGGACATCCAGCGCTTTGTCCTTCGGTCCCTGGGCGAGAAGAGGCAGCTCTACTATGCCATGGAGCACCTGGGGACCAGCTTCAAGGATCCTGTGAGTAACTCCTCTCCATCCCACTTCCACGTACAAAGCTTTTAGCACCCAGCGAAGATGCTACGGATGTTGTTGTTGTTACAGAGTTTGGGCCAGCACCCCGGGCTTCCCCCACCTCCGCCCTGCCCTCTGGAAGCAGAGCCTATGAATGCGGTAGTTCAGAGGCTAGTGTCCGGGATCGGGGCTGGACTTGGTGGGTGAAGGCGCTTTTCTTGACTGTTCCAGGATCCCTGGACTCCAGCAGCTTTCATCCCTGAGTCACTGAGAGAAAAGCTCAGGTAGGAGAGGCTGGTGGTGGGAGGGGCCTGGAGGGGTCCTTCGGGGCGGGGTCCAGGTAAAATGGATCTGGACTGGTCTGTGCATCCACTGAGCATGTCTCTCACCCCCGAGAGAGGATCAAGAGCAGCGACCTTGGGACCATGAGCCTCCACAGCCAAAGCCCTTGACTGACTGGAAGGGTGAGTTCCTGGGTGCACAGGAGGCAGGAGGCAGGGGGCTGCCAGCTGGGGCTCCTGCTGGGCCAGCTTTCAGGGGGCCCTCAGTCTCCTCTTCCTCATCCCTTCCCCTGCAGATGTCCTCCTCCTGGAGGGAGTAACCCTGACCCAGGATGCAAGGCAGCTGAACGGGTCCGAGCGAGCGGTGCTGGACGGTCTGCTCACCCCAGCTGAGTGTGGGGTGCTGCTGCAGCTGGCCAAGGTAAGGAGACCTATGAAAGCACATCAGGCCGGCGTGGCTCGGTGGTGACTCACAAGGTCACGGTTCAATTCCTGGTCAGGGCACATGCCCGGATTGTGGGCTCCATCCCCAGTGTGGGGCGTGCAGGAGGTAGCCGTTCAGTGATTCTCTCTCATTGATGTTTCTGTCTTTCTCTCCTTCTCCATCCCTTTCTGAAATCAATAAAAATATACTTTAAAAAAAGAAGACCCCTGGGTAGGTGGCACCGTTGGCTAGTAAGGGACCCCAGGTAGAGCTGCCTGCCCCCTGTTCTAACTTCTCGGACTCCAGCCGGGACTGGGCTTGCCTCTGCCTCACTGCTGTGGACAAGTTCCTTTTCCTCTCAACTTAGAGGGCTTGGCATGGACATTCTTTCCTTTTTTTCCTTAACATTCTTCACATATGGATTTTGCTAGAAGTGAATAGGAAGAACAAAAGAAAATAAAGAGCATAAAGGCAACCGAAGCCAATTTGGCTCAGTGGTTAGAGTGTAGGCCTGGACTGAAGGGTCCCAGGTTTGATTCTGGTAAAGGGCATGTACCTTGGTTGCAGGCACATCCCCAGTGGGGGGGAGGGGTGCAGGAAGCGGCTGATTGATGTTCCTCTCTCATCGATGTTTCTAGCTCTAGCTCTCTATCCCTCTCCCTTCCTCTCTGTAAAAAAAAAAAAAAAAATCAATTAAAAAAGAAAAAGAAAAAATATAAAGGCATAGGACATTGGGAATGTGTGGGTTAGGATTTCATTACTGGCTTGGCTGATGGCTCAGTGGACACATAGGCTTATTTTCCCATCCATTGAATTCCCTCCTAGTTTGGGTTGATATTCCCAGGCTGAGCCTGCCATTTCCGGAAGCATCAGCCTTCATTCTAGGCTAGTGCTCCTTCAGCACACACGCTTTGAGTACGTGCTGTGTATTCGGAGCGTCTAGGTTCCAGGGAGAGCGAGGTGAGCCAGAATCTGCGTCTGGGGCTCACGGTGGAGAGGAGTCTGACGTGGAGACACACTTAGAGCGGTGGTTATGTTTGATCTAAGAAGGACGTACTCCTCCAAACAGAAGCACCAGAATGCAAGGTCATAGAAAGCCTGGGGCAGGGTGGCATTTGAGCTCAGTGTAAGGACGAGACCGAGGAAAGGAGGGGAGTCGGGCTTCGAGGGAGAAGGCCCAGGCGTTCTGGGGATTGCGGTGGAGCACAGGGGCTACGCACACAGGGCAGACCCCACAGTGACTGCCTGTGTGGCGTTGGGCCATGTAGTTCAGCATCTCTGAGCCTCGCTCCCTTGTCTGTAACGTGGGGCTAACTGCAGTGGCTTTGTCTCAGTTGTTGTGAGCATTAAGTGAGTTAGTACATGGCCAAGATCTCAGAAGAAAGCGCTCAGCATTTAGTAGCTGTCACCATTATCACCAGGCTGTGTGTTAATTAGGGGAGTTACAGGGGAGGGATCAGAGCTGGAATTAGAGGAGAGACGGTGAAGGGCCTTCTGTACCCTACCCAGGAGGGTAGGACGGCTGCTTCCAAGTGTTTAAGGAGCAGTGATTTTCTTGTTCCTGTAGAACCTCCCAGGGCAGGGTCCGGAGTCGCCACCATCCCAGTGGGCTGGCAGGTCCCTCTGGGGCAGCGTGGGGAAAGGCAGTGGGAGAGGACAGTCAGGGGGAGACCCTGGGGCGATGCAGGGATCGGACCTTTCTGTGGCTCGGTCACACTAACCACTCTGGCCTCCGGCCCTTTGTACTTGCTGTTTCTGCTGCCTGGAACACTTTTCTCTCCCTTATTCAAGGGACTCCTTCATATCATTGGGTTTCCATTCAGATGTCACCTCATCACGTAGCTGTCTCCCAACCCCTGCCTGGGCACGCTCTAAGTTGTAGCTCTGTTTGTTTTTTGTTTGTTTTTTCTCTTCATAACATTTATCTGAATTCATCTGATTTGTTTGTTTGTTATCTGAAAATGTAAGCCCCCCCTTTTTTTAATACCGGCTGGGCTGATGGCTCAGCAGCAGGGGCCTTTTCACGTTCACAGTTGTGCCCCCAGTGCCTAGAGCAGTGCCTGGCACATAGTAGATGCTCAGTACAAATTGGTGGAATGAGTGAGTGAATGAAAGAATGAATGAGTGAATGAATGAATATAAGAATAGAAGGTTAGCTCTAACCGGTTTGGCTCAGTGGATAGTGCGTCAGCCTGAGGACCGAAGGGTCCCAGGTTCGATTCCAGTCAAGGGCATGTACCTTGGTTGCCAGCACATCCTCAGTCGGGAGTGTGCAGGAAGCAGCTGATTGATGTTTCTCTCTCATCGATGTTTCTAACTCTCTATTGCTCTCTCTTCTTCTCTGTAAAAAAATCAATTTTATATATATATATATATATATATATATATATATATATATATTTATTTTATTTTATTTTATTTTATTTTTAAAGAATAGGCTAGATGGCTTGTGTGATTAGGTGGTTTCTCAGAGATGAGGTTTATATATGGAATAATTAGGTGGTGGTATTTTATTTACTTATTTTTAAAAACTATATTTTATTGATTTTTTACAGAGAGGAAGGGAGAAGTATAGAGTTAGAAACATCGATGAGAGAGAAACATCAATCAGCTGCCTCCTGCACACCCCCGACTGGGGATGTGCCCGCAACCAAGGTACATGCCTCTGACTGGAATCGAACCTGGGACCCTTCAGTCCGCAGGCCGACGCTCTATCCTCTGAGCCAAACCGATTTCAACTTTTTTTTTTTTTTAGGTGATGGTATTTTAACTGAGTTTCATAAAGCAGGCAGGAGAATAGGTGTCAGGAAAGGACAGCCAAATACCAGGAGACCCCCCACACAATGTGGGGGTTCACGTCAAGGGTTCGCACGTTCTCCCAGAGCGTGTCAAGTGGAAAGAGGTCAGAGAGCAATACCTCGCCTGGACCTGGCCTGACCACCGAGCTTCCTGCCAGAAGTTCTATTTCCAGAGGGGCTCCTCTATTCTTAGCCCATCAGGGAATGATCACCCTTCCTGCACCCCTTTCCTAGCTGTCCTTGCCCTCTCAGGGGCCCCTGGTTGGGTGCCCCCCGCCAATGAGCTGCCAGGTCTTTACCAGGGAACGAGGATACAGAGAAGACATGTCACTCCCCGGGGAAGGGCGGCAGCTCCAGAAAAGGAGCCACCAAAGACCTCTGGGAGCTTCCAGCGTCTTCCAGAGACCTCTGGGAGCAAGCGGGTTGGAGAGAAAGTCTTGTAGTCCGTGGGCAGTGAGGCAGGAAAAAGTCCAGGGCTGGACGGTGACCCCACAGCCAACTCTCCCTACTTAGGACGCAGCCGAGGCTGGAGCCAGGTCTGGCTATCGGGGCCGCCGATCCCCTCACACCGCCCATGAGCACTTCGAGGGGCTCACGGTGCTGAAGGCGGCACAGGTGAGCGGGGAGGTACCTGTGCCCTCGCCTGATGCTCAGGTCTGGGAAAGAGGGCCCGCGGGAGGCTGGCGCCAGGGCCTGGGCTTCTCCCATGGAGGGGCTCTCTGCCCCGGGGGTCGAGGAGGGGTTGTCATGGAGCCACTGGAAGGAGCAGCTGGGGCTGATGGACAGAGCTGGCCACGGAGAGACTCCACACTCACCTTCCCATCGCCTCCCTCCTTCGTGTCCTCCCTCCCGCCGCCCACAGCTGGCCCGGGCCGGGGCTGTGAGCACCCAGGGTGCTAAGCTGCTCCTGGAAGCGAGCGAGCGTGTGCGAACCCTGACGCAGGCCTACTTCTCCCCGGAGCGGCCCCTGCACCTCTCCTTCACGCACCTGGTGTGCCGCACGGCCGTCAAAGGTGATTGCCATGCCCCACTGCGCCTCCCTGGCCTGGCCTCCGGCGCCTGTGGGGGCTGCAGAGCCTCAGCACCCCCTGACCGTGCGGGTTCATCGTCACTCCTAAGGCCTGGCCCCTCTGCTCAGCCGGGACGCCCGTGCCACAGGGGGTGTGGATGGTGGTGGACGGGCCCAGGCCACAGGGGGTGTGGATGGTGGTGGACGGGCCCAGGCCGCAGGGCGCAGAGGCGTTCACCAGGCCCCTTTGCTCCCCAGGGGAGCAGGAGCAGCGCATGGACCTGAGTCACCCCGTGCATGCCGACAACTGCGTTCTGGACCCCGACACGGGCGAGTGCTGGCGGGAGCCCCCAGCCTACACGTACCGGGACTACAGGTGGGCAGCCCCTCCCGGGGCCGGGCAGGGGCGCCCCGGCTGGGACCTCACCGCCTCCTTCTTCCCCCTCCAGTGGACTCCTCTACCTCAACGATGACTTCCAGGGCGGGGACCTGTTCTTCACAGAGCCCAACGCCCTCACCGTCAGGGTAAGGGAGGGGGAGCAACAGCTGTGGGCTCAGGATTCAAAACAGAAGGATCCCAAAAGCAAATGCAGGGAAATGGCCGGGGCCACCTGATCCCTCTCCTGGCCTCCCAGCTCTTCCCACCATGTCTCTGTTCAGGGCTCTCCTAGCAGCGGTCGAACAGCCCCCCCCCCCTCCATCCCCGACCCCGCAGGAGATGGCAGTGACCCCTGCAGACTTGCCTTCGTGTTTGCCTCACCTCCTAACGAAGGGTGGTGAGCACAGGACCCCACGTCCCTATGCCAGGTAGAAACTAGGGTCTGGGAATAGGCAGAAGGAGAGGGACAGTGATGCCTCATCACCGGGAGCTCTGTCTTCCTTCCTTGCCTGCTGACCACCAACAGCACCTACAACCCACGCCCTCCGTGGGGGGAATTGGTCCCCAAGATCCTCATGCCCAGCGCCCGGAGCCTGGTCCTGCCTCATGCTGCAGAGTACTTCACACACAGTTGAACGAGTGTCAGGGCAAGAGGGAGGGGACCCTCAGGAGGCACTGGCTGGAGACTCCTTCTCCCTTTGGCTCCAGCTCCTTTAGTCTCTCTGGCATGGGTGCTCCCCGGGGGGAGGCCAGTCTCCCCTTGGCCGCCAGACAGTCCCTGAATTAAGGAGTGAGTGATGGGCCAGAGAACTGGTCTTTCCATGCCCGCCGCCCTGTCCTAGTCCAGGAGCCAGGGCTGAGAGCTCCGAGGGCCCACCCCTGGAGCTGAGCCTGCCCTCACCCCCCAGGCGCAGGTCCGTCCTCGCTGCGGACGCCTCGTGGCCTTCAGCTCCGGCGGGGAGAACCCCCACGGGGTGTGGGCCGTGACCCGGGGCCGGCGCTGCGCCCTCGCGCTGTGGCACACGTGGGCGCCCGAGCACAGGGAGCAGGTGTGTGAAGCCTGGGCCGGTTGCTGGGTGAGGGGCAGGGGCTGGCATGACCCGGGGAGGGTTCTTGGGGAGGGTGGATGCCGGGATTGGGCCCGACTCTCCTCCTGCCTCTCTGTCAGGAGTGGACAGAAGCCAAGGAGCTGCTTCAGGAGCCGGGAGAGAAGGAGGAGGAGGAGGAGGAGGGTGATGATGAGGAGGAAGACATGCCCAGCAGAGACCCTGCTCCAGAACCCCCCGGCCGCAGGCCTCCGCGGGGCCAGGGCAAGACGGGGAAGCCGCCTCGGGTCCGAGAGGAACTGTGAGGGGCTGAGCTAGCCCCTCGGGGATGCGGCTACGTGACTCCTGAAGGGCTGCCTCGGTGCCATACCCACACGAAGGCCCCTGTGACTGTGACGGGAGCAGCACAGCGAGCTCCCTGTCCCTGCACCCCCACTGTTTTGGGGATCACGAGGGCCACCCAGCCCTGGGCTCAGAGGACGCTGCACAGACGAGCCTAGAACTCGCTGGGTCTGAGGAGCCAGGCCTGGCCCCAGCGGATGGGCCTGCAGCCCCAGGACAGATGCCTCCCTGGAAAGAAATGGACAGGGCAGGGCCTGGCTGCTTCAAAGGAGGAGGCTGAGCGGGGAGAGTAAGCCCCCCCGGCCCCCTCCCAGCCTGTCAATAAAGAACGTGGAGATCCTGGCCGGACCGTCATTCCTATCAGTGTCTGTGGCGGGGGGAGGCGGGAGGCGGGAGGCGGGAGCGGCTCTGGCTGGCCGGGGAGGAGACAGGTGTCTGGGGGCGGGGCCGCTCGGGCCTGTGATTTGTCAGGGAAATCTCAGCCACCTGCTGCCCTCATGCAAATACACCCAAACCCCGACAGCTGCTCCTTGGGCCTCCGACGACGCTAAGACCTGTCTTCCCTCCGAGTGTGGCTGAGACTTAGGGCAGCTTGATCCCTAAGACTCCTGCTTTCCCAGCCCAGCAGGACTTTGTGAGTCATGGGGGCAAGGAGGGGGCCAAACCCCAGACAGGAGCAGGGGAGGGGGGCTGCCCTCTGCTTGCGATCCTTTTATGCACCCGGAGCAGGGGCGGGCCTGTCCATCCCTCTTCCTGAATCCCTGTCCCCTCCCCCCGCCCCCATCCCCCAGAACGGGATCCGGGGGCAGCTGGTTGGGGTTTGTCTGGAAGAAGGATTATCCAGATCAGTCCCTTCTAATCTCAGTCCTCCTCATGGTCACCAGAAACCTCTCCCCCCACCACCACCGGAGCTAAGGAACAGGTTTGGGCATTGACCATGGGCCCTCTCTGACCCTTGAATTCTGGCTCTGGGGCTGGGTGCTAGGCAGGTCCTGACGGCCAAGATCATCACATTGGCAGGGCCGGGCCTGGGAGGGAGGGGAGGGGGGTAGGGGCTGCCGGAGCTGTGGTGGCTACTGCCCCTGTGCACACTCCCAAACGTCAACCTTTAATCCTCACAGCTTGGCTCTAATCCCGTGGGGCCTAATGCTCTTCTCTCTGCCTGCAGAGGGACCGATCGGGAAGCATCCCCCCCACATCTCCCCCAGAGCTTGTTGTGGGGGGCTGCTCCTCCATAGCCCAGCACTCCTGCTCCTCCCCTCCCCCAGGCTGGGCCTGAGGGCTCTGGAAGCCACACACCTCCTGTCCTCCTCCCCACCCCTGCCAGCTGATTGAATTTGCCTGACGTGGTTGTGGGCCCTCCCCTCCCCTGTCCGTGCCCACACCCCCCTCCCCAGAGCGGGGCCAGGCCAGGCCAGCTCCTCTGGCAGTGGAGCGGGGCAGGTGACGGCTGGCTGCGGCGGAGGGAGTGAGGAGGCGCTGGGAGCCGGAGCTGGAAACCTGGGAGAGGTCCAGTCACAGCCCAAGTAAGAGGGAGCCGGCCTGGCTCTGCCCCTGGGCCCGGGGCTGCGGGGAAGGCGGGCAGGGCAGGGCTGGCTGCACAGGACTCCAGACATGGAGGGGCTCCCTGAGGAGGTGGTGGAGGCCACTTGTCAGCTCCCTATTTCCCAGAGTGGCCTCCAGCCCTCTTGAGGAGTCTGGTGTGGGGTACGAGGCAGAGGGATCCCCTCTACCCACCGCATGTTCCTGGCAGGAGCCGGAGCGACCTCTCAACCTGCCCGCCATGGGGGAGATGGAGCAGCTGCGGCAGGAAGCGGAACAGCTCAAGAAGCAGATCGCAGTAACTCCAGCCCCTTCCCGCCCCCGGGGACCCCAGAGAACGTGGAGATGGGGGCCGGAGGGAGTGTGGCCTGGGGGGAAGGAGCTGGATTCCCTCCTGAGTGACTCATGCCTTAGAGACCCCTGACCTGGAAGTCACCAGAGATTTTCTGCATCTCATATCTGAGAAGTGTCCAAACTGTAGATCCCCAAGCCTACCTACCTCAGAGGCCCATGCACCCCCTCCCTGCCCCTCCCTAATGTCTGCTCCCCCACAGGATGCCAGGAAGGCCTGTGCTGACATCACTCTGGCAGAGGTGAGACTCCTGTCCCCTGAGCAGGGCCTGAGGGGAGGAGAAGGGAGGGGAGCTCCCTGACCAGCCCAAGTCCTGGGAATGAGGAATAACACCAATTAGTTCAGCCAACAAACATGGAGTGAGGTCTGCTCTGGGCCAGGGGCCGGATTGGAGACTAAGGACAGGACGCTGCCCTACTGTCATCCCGTCTTCCATCAAACAGAGGTGATCACACCCGCTCACACCGCAGGAGGCCGAGGGTGAAGGGAGGGACAGCACGTTGTAAGCCACGCACCCTTACAGGCTGCGTTACTAGTTGTCTGATACTGCACTTCCTCAATTCTAAGATGCACACTTTCCCACATTGTTACACCTTTGAAATCAAGATGCATCCAACACTAGATGGTGCCTTACCATGGAAATGGGCAGCGTTTTTTTCTTTCTCGGGGATGCATAAAAGCAAGGTGCTTCCTAGCGTTCTTTGCGCGGAAGATAGGATTAAATATCTTAGTAAGTATTTACTGAACACTTACCCTGAGCCAGACACTGAGCTAAGCTGCTTCAATCCCTGACTCCATTTTCACGACAACCCCACAGGGTAGGTGCTATAGACATTCACTGACAGATGAGGAGACAGGCCCAGAGAGGTCAAGTAACTTGATCAAGATTCTAAAGCAGGGAAATGGCGAGTCCAATCTATTGGCCCGGGAGCCTCAGGCCAAGACCAGAAGCTGGAGAAACTTAAGGGGCCCAGGACCACACATGTCAGAAGCCGCAGACCAAGGTCAGGGTGATATCTGGGCACCCAGTTACAGAGGTGGCTGTGCTACGGCGGTGTGTGCGGGCAGCGGGCAGGCTCCTAGCGGTTTGGAATATGCGTACGTATCTTTCTACGTACGTGTTCCGTGGCTTCACATTTTGAAATTGGTCGAGGCGGGAGAATTATAGGATAGAATTTACTCTCCCTCCTCGCCTCGCCCTCCTCACCCCCGCACTGGAGAGGGACTTGTTAAACACTTAGCAACATGCCACTGGTTGTCTGTCATCAGCCTAAGCCACTCCACAGCGGGGACTTACTTCCCTAAGGCTGGGGCCTGACCCCCAACCCCACACAGATTGGTGGCTGTGGCACAGACATCTGGTCAAGGACCCTGCTCACCCTGGTTTTTCTTTATTTTTTTTTCTTTTTTAATAAAAAAATTTTAATTGATTTTTTACAGAGAGGAAGGGAAAGGGATAGAGAGCTAGAAACATCGATAGAGAGAGAAACATTGATCAGCTGCCTCCTGCACACCCCCCACTGGGGACGTGCCCGCAACCAAGGTACATGCCCTTGACTGGAATCGAACCTGGGGCCCTTCAGTCTGCAGGCCAACACTCTATCCACTGAGCCAAACCGGTTTCGGCTCACCCTGGTTTCCTGTGCCCCCCTTTTCTGCAGCTTGTGTCTGGCTTAGAAGTCGTGGGACGAGTCCAGATGCGGACGAGACGGACGCTAAGGGGACACCTGGCCAAGATCTATGCCATGCACTGGGCCACGGACTCCAAGTGAGACCCGAGAGGTGCCGGAGGGTAGGGGAGGCAGGAAGGACGGGCTTGGGTGACACGGAGCGCCCTCTCCCCAGGTTGCTAGTCAGCGCCTCGCAAGACGGGAAGCTGATCGTGTGGGACACCTACACCACCAATAAGGTACCAGCCCTGCCTCCCGCCCTCCATCGTTCCGTCCTTTCTTGGGGACACTATGCCTACCCGCCTCTGCCCTCTCCACCCAGGAGCTCAGCCCAGGTCCTGCATCTCCCTTTGCCCCCGCAGGTCCACGCCATTCCTCTGCGCTCCTCCTGGGTCATGACCTGTGCCTATGCCCCATCGGGGAACTTTGTGGCATGTGGGGGGCTGGACAACATGTGTTCCATCTACAGCCTCAAATCCCGTGAGGGCAATGTCAAGGTCAGCCGGGAACTCTCTGGCCACACAGGTGAGAGGACCTTTCTGTCCCACCCTGAGGGATTATGGCTGGCTGGCGGGCAGGCAGGCCGTGGCCCTGCAGCCAGGGCACTGTCCTAACCTCCCCCAGGTTATCTCTCCTGCTGCCGCTTCCTGGATGACAACAACATCGTGACCAGCTCCGGGGACACCACGTGGTGAGGACGGGCCCAGGGTGTGGGGCTGGGAGACAGCTCTGGCCTGGCCTTTCTCGGTGACAGCCTCCCTCCCCTCCTCCCTGCAGTGCCCTGTGGGATATCGAGACCGGGCAGCAGAAGACTGTGTTCGTGGGACACACAGGGGACTGCATGAGCCTGGCTGTGTCTCCCGACTTCAAACTCTTCGTTTCGGGGGCCTGCGACGCCAGCGCCAAGCTCTGGGACGTGCGGGAGGGGACCTGCCGGCAGACGTTCACTGGCCACGAGTCGGACATCAACGCCATCTGTGTGAGCCCCCTCTGTGCGCCGGCTCCTGGGACCACCCCACCAGCCCACACGCATCCTCCGCGCCCCCCCACCCCCTCGCCAGAGCTCCCCACCCCTGCTTTTTAACTGTCCACTTCTAAATAATTTCACCTTACAGAGAAGTTATGACGAAAAGAGCTCCCATAGTCACGGTTAACAGATTACCACATTTGTTTTATCCTTCTCTGTAGAGGAAGGGATGGAGGAATGGATGGATAAATGATTGACAGCTAGCTAGACACACACATGCATACATCCCAATGTAGATATACATGGTGTTGTGTTTTTTTTTAAAAAATATATTTTATTGATTTTATACAGAGAGGAAGGGAGAGAGATAGAGAGTTAGAAACATCGATCAGCTGCCTCTTGCACACCCCCTACTGGGGATATGCCCGCAAC